CATACAAAAATGCAGGCGGGCATTAATACAACTACTTTTAACGTACAGATACGTACTTTCGAGGTCCAAACTAAAATTTTCGCATGCAAAACAATTACATTTTATACCACACCCACAAACGTTTGATGAGCAAAACAAAAAGTTTTGATTGACAAATTTGATTTCCCCAAATGGTAATCTTCTTAATTTATACATGTGCTTATCGTATGGACCTAATTTTAGAGTTTCTCCGAAATTCGTGTAACACGAAACTTCTGCAGATTTGCTTAGTTTGTTATCCTTTGTAATAATTTTTGCATGACGCTCTAAAATTACAGTATTATAAATTAAGACTTATTGTTGGCCGGCTTCTCTCCCACTGTGAAAGGGGAAACAAACTGGTTCTAAGAGCAGGTGCAGAAATGGGATAAGTTTTGATAATTTTTAACATTTCCAGTTTACATGTTTGATAATCTAAACTAAATTAAATCTACTTGTTTATAAATTAAATCTACTTGTTTATACATTAAATATTTATAAGTGATAACGTTAACTCGAAAACATACTCAATGATTATTTGTTATCGCATTTGACCGCACGCGGTTAATTCGGACGAATTTTTACGTTGCTTATTTCAGAGATTTGTATCCGTTCCGGTTTGTTTAAACATTTGTAAATTAATGTTCCTGCTATATAATTATCATGATGGCGTAATCGAAATTAACTCGAAAGATTTTTTGTTAAAAATGAGAGGTTAACACTATCACATAATTTGGCATTGATAGTGAGTAATAGTGTAAACTGCAGGTCTTAAGCTAGCCAGCCTTTTAAAGCCAGCCTGTTAACATTGTGTCACTTTTATCAAAAGAATCTCTGATACAGAGGCCGCGGAAGTACCTCGATACTGACTTGAGTCAGCAATTAACATTCTAAGAAGGTGTAGAGGTTTGGACGTATGCAATATACAGCCTCGGATGTTATACATATTCTCTAATAGCTGTACGTCCTAAACTAAACATGAACACATTAGCCTCAATTATATTGTTATTAAGAAATGCAATTTCATTCAAAATTGCCAGAAAATCTAGCTCTCCGGCCGTTTTTGATAACAAAGTCTTTAGCAATCAAACCATGGATTGTAAAATAACATGTTATTTTACAATCCATGAGCAAACTAAGCAAATCCAGTTCATCAGTTCTGCAGATCCTTGTCATTACGTGCATAACATTAATAAGACAGGGGCATTTCTCAGCTTAAGGGGGTATTTGTAATTCCTCTTCACTTGTTGGTAAAAAGGGCACTATTATTCCACAAAAAGGGCACATTTTCTCCTAGCACAAAAAGTTGGGGGCACCTGCCCCCAACGTCTCCCCCCCCCCCCAGTTCCGCGGCCTCTGCTCTGATACACAGTGTAAAAGGGCCTTAAGTCTTTGAAAGAGGTTTTCACTTTCACACGTTCTGGTCAAAGAGACTTTGATAGTGTCAACCAGCCTTTAGTCTTCGAAAAAGAGGCTCCGGCACTGTCACTGATAGCTACGACTCGCTCAAAATTTCGATAATGTAAACCAGCTTTTAGTCTTTGAAAAGGATTTACACTGTCACATACGTTTTCAAAGCATACTTTGATCAAAGGATCTTTCTGATTGATAGTATAAAATTAACAATGCAATGGCAGTGCTACTGATAGACAAATTTGGCTAACATTTGTTTATACAATTAGCCTTTCTCACGCCGCCAGTTTTGGGTGGCATTTCAGCCGAAGTCTGCGAGACAAGTCCACATAACAGCGACTTTTTATAATTTTTTGAACGGATGATAGTTAGTTTTCACATTGTTTTAATTGTCTGCATTGGTTATAAAGATGATGTCCACTCCTGTGCACATGCGCGAACTTTGTTTACATTTTGAACTGCTATATTTGTAAAATATGAAATACTAACTGAATATCTAACACTTTTCTGGTTCGCTATACTTGTAAATGAATATAAACTGTACGTTTCATTTCAGAAAAGTTCGAAAGATGCAAAATTTGGGGCAATGTTTATATCTGGGGGTCCCCCTTTGTTATGAGCAGAACTGATGCACAGAACGGAGTAGACATCTTCATCTTTAACGAGAATTAGATGCCACCCAAAAATGGCGGATATTCGTCATCGTGAGAAAGGCTAATTCCCAACTTTAGATAGCTCACATACCCAGTTAACTATTTTTTTAGTTACAAAAGAATAGAATAGAACAAAGGTAACTATATAGGCTTTAGAATTATCTATACATGAGTGAATAACTCTTATACATAATTCTAATGCTTATTATAGTTATCTTTGTCCTATTTTATATGTTTCTGTAAACTAAAACAATGGTTAATAGGTTATCTAAATCACATACTCGAACCGACCTGACCGCGTAGCTCAGTTGGCAGAGCATTTGGCTAGTATTCCAAAGGTCGTAGGTTCGATTCCCTGCACCGTGGCCATGCTGGCATATTTTTCAAATTTGTCTATATATGCATCTGCGAACATCAAACTTTAAAATACACAGACCTTTCAAAATCATATTTTTTGAAAGAGCTGTAACCCTGTCGCACATGCGCTTTGAGTATCTATATGAGTATCTATCTTCTTTGGACAACATTTAACTGCAGTATATGCTAATAACAAACATGCGTATATAAAAGTTTAGATTTATGCTTTGCATGATATGGGAGATAAAATGTAAAAATCAGGACACAAAATTCAAGATGATTACTGATGTTTCGACTTTATTTCAATGTCATTTTCAAACCTCGAAGCATCACCTTCAACATTGATTTATTGTGTTTTGTTTAATACAATTTGCAAATGTACAAGACGATAGTATGCCGAAGTGATCTTTTCTTTCCTCGCAATTTTCCACTGCATGGTAAAGGATTTGGGATATATTTTTGCAGTTGGTTTTCGTGTGTGAGACAAACACTCATCCGTTTACAGATAAATTTAACAAAAATATTATGAGTTTCGCCTCCATTCGAATATTCCAGAATCCGTAGGTGGGTATACGTAGGCATACTACTTGCGTATACGATCTAAATCAAATTATCATTATTACAACACTAAAAACATTATTAACCTTTTTTTAAGCCATAGCTGTATATGTTTACGATAATCTGACGTATATAGATGATGGATCATTTACAACTAAATTACGAGGCCGCATGCACGAAAGTATAAATATAAGGATTGCAGAATTTTAATTTCGTCACGGCGAAAAAGGATTTTTGAAAAAAGATACATGCATGGTTTGCTTGTAGCATTGTATATTACTAACACCACCGTTGAAAATGACAAAAAATATTTATAGGATTGACTGATCCATGACTTTGCAATAAACCTATAATCTCTGTATAGGCATACGTGTTTCCTCAATTAAGATTTCAGAATGATCCTCTTTGAGCAAAATGTCATAATGACTCGGTGTTTAACGCTGAGTCATTTCAGTCTCATTTCCCTCAAACATTTCTCACAAATCATTTAAAACTTAAAATTTACTATGCAAAATTTCTACTATGATCACAGAAACTTTGATAGTGTATACCATAGAGACTTTGAAGTTTTCTGGTCATTAGTCATTACTGCTTTGTAATCATAAAATGATTCATAAAAAATGTGAACGTGAGCGCTTCGTTTATCAACTGACCCAGCAGTAACTATATTTGAGCTTGGCATGATTCGGTCAAGTCTTTTACAAAATTACAAAAACCTAATGCATGAGTATACGTTATAAAACAACATTTTGTTCAATCAAAATTAATGAAAAATATTTCTTCTTGCATGCTGCATTAGGCTACTTGCATGCATATCACACTGACTCAGAATAATAGTTCAAGAAACAAGTATATATAGATTTAATTTATATCTGAAATGCATGGAACTTCGCATGATATAAATACATCATTATACGTGGTCATTACTGCTGAGCAACGTTTTTAATAAAATGGGGATAAACAACTTCATTTATCAACTGACGCAGTAGTATAACTGCATGTGAACTTGGCATCTGGAAAAGTCTTTTAAGATACGAAAACCTAATGAATGTCAAGGGCGCAAGCCTGAGGGGAATTATAATCTATAATGCTAGATTACGTCCGTTGGCCGGCTTTTTCTCTTTTTTTTTCTCCAAAGGTATAGCCCTTGTGGCAACAACTTTTCAATGTCGCGTATTTACGATGAAAAGTGTTCAAAACCTAAACTCTTTTTGGCGTTCCTCTCAAAAATTACTTTGTTTCAGCTTTGTTTTGTAGTTTACACTATTAGCAACCTTTTTAAATGTATCTGGCGGTTGAGAAACACAAAAAAAAGTTAAATATTATCAATTTAATTACAGTTATCATTGATGCTGTAAAATTGACGCCGTATTTATATATAGCAATACTAATAAGTAAAGTTTACTGAACTTCAGACATCATTTTCTCTTTGGCGTATAACCATCTAAAATCTCTTCATTTTAGCATTATTTTTCAGATAAAGCACTAAACATACTTTTTAAATTGAGCACATACATAAGATTCTTCTCTTAAGCAACTGGTTTTTTTTATTATGTTATCTATGGCAGACCCAGTATTAAATATAGCCTCAAGATCTTACCCACTTGGGCGACTAAAACGTTTTAAAATTTCAACCCCTGTTTTATCCCCCCGGCCGGCTTTTTGCGATGGGTTTTCTCCCTTGACGAATGCGCGTTATAAACACTGAGCAAACTTGTTCAATCATAATGAATGGAAAATATTCCCTCAGCTTGCGCAAACTGTGAACTCATTAGCGTCGACTCTACATAGAAACATCATCTTTGTCGCAACAAAAGCTGACGTGTACGCATTATGTCATTCTCAATCTCAGATGTTTTAATCGCCTTTTGATATAATGCATCTCACAGCTCACCTGTCCCTTCCTGTTCCAACAAAGAACGCACAGCCGGCAATCAATCTAGGAATGAGATTTTATCTGCCCTGCTGCATTTGTTAAAACCCACCCCTCACTTTCTGCAACAGATATAAATTGGCGCGTTTCAGTCACACGCTTCATCAAACGCCTGCTGATCATTTGAAACGATACACAAAAGTGACTTATTTCGAATCAATTATGGCTAAAAGTTACACTTTTTCGTTGTTTGTTGTGGCAATTTTATTTTGCTCGTTTTACGTACGCGATTCGGAAGGCGTTTATGGTATATTGACGCCACAAGAGGGAAAACGCGCTTTTGAAAGTGAGTCTTTGAATCGAAAGATTTCCACGCTTGAAGCAATACGGGCGAAATTACAACGGAAGGAAGCATTCAACGCTGTGATCTCGAAAATGGTATGTAATCCACATGTAATAATTTTAAACCAACGGGGATATTAATAAACAGCAGTATATTTATAGGAAATATGCAACTGTACCTGAAAGCATACAGTATAAACAGAACTTCCACCTTTTCGAGCGAAGGCTTTTCTTCAGATGTTAGTATATTCGCATGATAACAGCCTCAATTTGGCTACTAATCACAACTTGCCGTCTAATTAAGCGCCTTCGCTCGAAACGTCGAAGTTGTGTAAAGATTTTTCAGTTAATTGTATATTTCATATAAAAAATGGCTATTTGTTCTACCCGCTGGCATAGGTGTTAATAAACCCTACAATACATTATTTATGTGCAGAACAAACATGCAAGCTATAATCTGTTCACATTTAAGACCATAATTAGCGCTTTGATATTTTTATAGTTTTAATTTATTAGTAAGATATATAGATGCACAGTATATAAGTTTATAGTCGGAATCACTTTCACTCGGCGATTCCCGGAATCGTGAATCCTGTTTTTCCGGTTTAGTCGTTTAGCAAAACTTAACTTACATACGGATGTCCCTTACTACTGTAGACTTTTAGAAAGAACAGTTTTTTAAATTAACAGACCTATATAGAGAATAAATCACAAAGTTGGATTTGTTCAGGCTTTTTCCAGTTATAATACTGTGTCTGGATCGATAAGGAATGACACGTACTACTATATAAATATTAGGAATATAACTCTGCCGTGTACGGACGATGTGTATGGCAAAAAGTTGAGATTTTTTCCTTGCCAGTTAAGGAGCCTTGTTCCAAATCTATTCGTGCCAGCTTTTGGAAAATTTGTTCGTCAACTGCACGGCGCCATGGAACTTGACAAGTGTACAATTAAGAAATATACTTTTGTGGTTTTGGCAAACGAAAGGCGGTTTTGACTGACGTGAGATAAATGTTTAACAACATGTTAACATTCCGTGCACACGAACAACAAATGAGCTTGTCAGGGAAAACTTGTTGACCGCCCGTACACACGAGAATTAAGTAAACTTGTCATGCAAGGAAACTTTGCTCGTCTGTGTATTTGCTCATCTCATATATTGCATGCATGCTAACAGTTTGTACTGTATATACATATAAGAGATATAATGTTTTATATAAAAAGTAACAACTGCATGCTGTCCGAATGGCAACACTGTCGAAATATGTGAGTAGTTCAGGTTTCTTAATTTCTGTATAGTAACAATTGATCAATAAGGGATGACTTTTTACTGCTATATATACCTCTGGGGAGAACAGTTTAGAACTGATATAGAGCATATCAACAAATTAAGTCTAGTTTGTGTTAATTCGAATTCCTTGATTATTTGAATTGTAGGATTTTCTAAAGCTAATTAGCTATAGATAGTGGATTTTCACTAGGCTAAGTTTTACGCGGGAAGAATTTTCTTTTATCTTCCTTGTCAGAATTAAGAGCCCCTAGCTCCAGAGGCTCTTTGCCTCTGGAACCATACAGTGTAAATTAAGAGTATAGAATATCATTTTAAAACGGACTCGTGGAGCGGAAATATCGCTTCGTGTGCCGCGATTTTGAATTCAATTAAAACCAGCCGGCTAAAGATTTTATCGTTTCCTATTAAAAGTATAACATTTTCAGTTGTTGCTACTCAGATTCACTCACAGCCTAGCTGGTGGTCTTTGTACAACATCGAATCAAACAAAGCCATGCTATCGCTTATGAATAGCCAGCATGCAGCAAGCGAAATCCAAAAATGGAAGAATTAGCGACGATTGCATATATATTGTATCGCGATTGAGCCGGGTTGACACACTTCCTAAACCTAATTTATGCTGATTGACTTACGCAGATTGCCATGCAACGAAGTGGGCGAAAAATGAGGGCGAATTATCTATCGTTTGCTGATATTTTTCTTTTTTTAATAGATACGTGATCAAGCTGCTCAAATAAACATCGACAGACCAATTCCTGAAGAACTGAATAACAACAATTGAGAAAAAAAAACACAGAAATGTAGAATTATATAATGAAAACAATTGCAACGTACTAATATAAATAAATAAGCTTCAAATTAACTAAATCCACAGTATTTTGCTCCTAAGATCTAGGTTATTTACAGTTAAGTGTGCTGCTAATGGATTAATTTAAAAACTATCAATATTATTAGAAAAATATAACAAATAATTGTATTGATCGATTGGTTTACGTTCGATGTATGATCTAAAGTGAATATATACGACAGTGAGCTCCGAACACCGAACACCCACACACACATTATATATATATATATATATATATATATATATATATATATATATATATATATATATATATATATATATATATATATATATATATATGCTTATATATATATATATATATAATAATTCAGTTTCTTTGAACGTATATGTAGTGAAGAGTGCTCAATATTACAAAATAGAGCGATTTATTAATACTTAAAATGTTTTTGTTGCTACTCCGAGTTTCATGCCGTAAAGGCAATCATCAGGCAACAGTTTTTGCTTC